TTTTAGGTAAACTTTAAAACATTTAAGAATTACAGAAAAATAATAAAAATCATTTTAAAAAATTTTGTTTATTTGAATGTATTGTCGAATTATATAAAATTTCATATCCCATAAATTTTTAAACCATTAATTCCTTAAGACTAAATTTCAGCTAAAAATCGAGTCTCGAATGGTATGACCAGAGTACAATAATTCTTTACTATTAAGTAACCCATACATAACCCTTAATATATTATAATTAATGCATGTATTTATTTATATAATTATTAATTTTATCAAACTTACATTGTATTAATCGATGTATTCACCACACCGATTGTATTGTTGCCTTTGTTGGTGTACGTGCAAACATACAACGCTTACCGATCTCAAAGATGTGCGGATATTTGGCGTACTCATACCAAGTGCCCATGTACTATAAATAAAAATATTTAAAATATTTTCTCATTGAATTTTCAAACAATTAACTCACAGCATCGGCGTTAAAGTCGGAAGGCACTTTTACTTCTGGACAACTGCGTGGAAAGGGCACTTGCGCCGCTGTCAAGTGGCAAATCAGCAGCAAAAGTGCAGCGAAGACACTGAGCAGGAAAGAGCGAAATAGAGAAAAGATTTTTAAATAATAGTGACATAAGACAAATTAATATAAACACCATTTCACAAACTTAAGAAATCGGAGACTGAAGTCATATAGCTTATACTTATTATACGAAGCATTAGGGCCTCTTTTAATGACCGAAATCTCCATAGGAAGCTACACTTTCTCTAACTGGGTTTCTTGCTAAGTAGGGCAGCTTCTTTAGGAACTTTTGCGTAACTATATTGTATCCTTAACTAGAATCATCTACATATATATACATAAGGTGAAGTCGTAAACCCCAAAACATGCCTTGACGTTTCACTTAAAAATGAGAGTTCTCACTTAAATCTTTACAAAGAAATAATTATAATATTCGTGCTAAACTGAGTACCTATATGTTTTATTATAATCGGTTGGTTTGATTTATTAGCTGCAAAATTATTTTTCAGTTAAAAAATTTTGGTATCCAAAAAACTCAATTATAAAATTTCAAATATTTTCAGTTTCCAAATTTCATAAATATTCACTTTCGAAAATTTTTAAAGTTTTTCAATTTAAACTTTCGAAAAAATTTATAATATTTAGGTTTCAATTTCTAAAATTAAAATTTCACAAATTTTCAATATCAATATATTTTTAAAATATATATTTTGAATTCTCAAAGAATCCAAAAATTCAATTTCAAATTTCAAAAAATTCCGAAAAATTTTAAAATTCCCTACTATTTATAAACATAATTTTTTCCAAAAACTTCAAATCTCAAAGATTTTCAGTGCTCTAAAATTTTTTAGATTTTTCAAATTTAAAAAAATTTTGCTACATCAAAATTTTTCAGATTCCCAAGTTCCAAAATTTAGTCAATTTACCAAATATTAAAATTTATTACATTTATTTATGTAAAGCTTACCTCGTTCTTAGTTGTGGACTCATTTCTCGCAGCATTATTTTTCAAGCCAAATAAATTTATATATTATTTTAATTATTAACAATTATTTTTTTATCTCTCTTCAGGTTTTCGTAAACACTGTGGTGGTAAGTAGTAATAATTTAGTTCAATATATATATAAATCTTTTGTATTGCTGTTTGACACAATTTAATTATCGATTTGTTTATACTCAAAATGTTATCGTTAAAGTAATTTGAATTTTTTTGCACACAGTAATAAAAATATAATAATTCGCTAGTCAATTGTGTTTAGAATTGCAAAGTTGAACGCGCCACTGCCGGAAATCAACTGAAAGCTCACCCTACCACTCGCGCATAATTTATAGCAACATCCAATAAAATGCAACAACAATAACACTGATGCGCCTTAAATGACTGCTGGCATAAAGTCATTAGAATTGATTATTTATTTGCCACATACAAGTAGTAAATGAAATGAAAAAAGATTTCTAAAAACAATATAGTATACTTGTAAATATTCATTCAGAAGTTAACCAGTAAAAGCATTAATTATTATAAAGCGCCATCGCCATTGATGAAATGTTTGGAATTCTTTTATTTCGATTTTTATCTGATTTATGAACTTCGCCTCAACCAAATTGTAAGATCCTGGTTTCTGGGTTGATAACGTGGCTTCAAAAACTTCGAATATCCACCTAGATTTCATAAAGAGCGCTCAGAACGTATATTTAAAAAATCTAAAAGTTCATATTATATAATTACCTATAGCCGGCCTATCAATGTCTATCGAACTATTGTATAATCTAGAATGTTACCTTACTTCAAAAAGGTTCTGATCTGGAATAAATCTTATCTCTTTACAAATATCTGTTGATTCCACAACTACGCTTTTTTTCAAATTTTAACAATATTTTTTTAATTTTCGATATAATATGTAGTTGATGTTAGGTTAGTTTGTAGAGTTGATTCAAAATTGATGGAGCTCACTTGGATATTTGTCTTTTGAGTTACCCATAAACTCCTAAAATTGGATCACGAGATCCCCATATATCAATGAAGCGTAAGGCGGTTAATATTAATTCCAGCTACTTCGCTAGCTTCGCCACAGGTGTGTCTACCGATATATTTCCACATCAGTCTTGCAAAAGCCGATCAATGGAGGAGAAAATGACAAGGTGAATCCACCTGGCCTTCTTCTATACAGTTTTATGAAAGAGAGTCCGACAAAATATTTAGCCGCACCGCTTGTGAACCTATTGAACAGTGCACAATCAGAACTTCTACCACTGCGGCGAAATTATCTTTGCTAAAGCCAGTTGTTCAGATGATCTCTTTTCTTATCTTAACCGACTCGTTTCCAATCGGATGAAATAGGGGAAAAGGTTATATCCCTAGCAAGCTTCCCGGTTTTGCAATTTCCAGTGATTCCGGTGTATCCTGGCACCCATATAAGCCTAATATGGAAGAGGCTTGAATCTATTGCTAATAAGCTTAAGTTCCCCTTCCGACAGAAGTCATCACCTTCTTCTCTACCTCTTACACCCCTTCTCAAAAGCGGTCCGGCGCATCTCAACATTTAATTAGAAGGGATCATGGTTTCCTTTTCTTTATACTCTGCGCCATCATTGATACGACCTTTCCGCACGCGTTTAACTAGAGTAGTCTTGTCACGCGTTTTTTGGATACACCGGCGTTGGACGTCACGTCACATCGTTCGTCAAAGCAATCCCGGAGTTTTGGGATAAACTGGTCACATATTCAAAACATTTTCATATTTCAAGAGTCTTATTCACGTGAATTACTGACTTACTCCTTAATTCAAATTCTAAGTGTAATAATAATGCTTTATACTCTTCATGTGACGAAGTGCTGTCTAAATTTCTGTATAGTATCTTTTTTTTTGTAAAATACATATGAGATTTTTTTACTTACAGACTGATCATAGACTGAAGATTTTTCATATATTGATGAGCGAAATTATTGATGCTGATTAGGATCCTTCGTAATGTAAACAAGAAGGGTAAGGGATTCTTAATAAAGTGTTGGAAAACGTCTTTCTAACAATAATTAAGATATAGAGATGCATAATCATGCTTGATGATTTGACTTAACATAATAAAAAAAGTGAAATAAATGAGTGTAATTTCATAGAAATATTTGTAGCAACATCTAAATTGTAGGACTCTAATCCAACAAGCTTAATAACAGTGTCTTCCACTTGATTTTTGGTTTTCTTTATTTTGATAAAAAGCAACCACTCAAAGATCAAGCTTCTCAATTTTAAAATTAAATAAAATATATTTGCCTCAACAAACATCCTTGCGGCACATCGATGACCTTTAAGTATTAATTATTTTTGGTTGTGAGGATGTGATTGTAACTACCAAGCACATAATGCAACGCAAGCACCGCCCTCGTATTGCTCTTTCAACCCACCGCTTGTATTGCTATCGCATTTTTTTTCGAATCGAAAAAGACTTTGTTAAATGTGAGCTAAAAACTAAACGGTGCTAACTGTAATTATTATTGCTGTTTTATACTCTCGCACTTGTTTGCTAGATGTAATAGTTTTGTCCACCTCTTTTTTATCACTAAAACTAATCGAGTTAGATATAGGGTTTTATCAATATATATAAATGATCAATGAAAGAGTGAGTTGATATGCAAGCTATAACTAGAGGTAAAATTGAGATATTTTATAAAACTGGTACACAAGACGGTAAAGACGGTTGGTATTGTAGATGGGCTATAATAAAATTTAGTGTGAACAAATGTTAAGCTTCTCTATCGACAATGAATCTGGTGAACTTGCCATCCCATATAACGGTAGTGTAAGGACTACAAAGCACGATAAATCAACAATTAACGATGAGTACATTAATTTAACTCTAAGATGGATGAGTGATTTATAGAAACCGCATTCAAAATTGACGCGGGGTGACCGCTACTTTTAGGTAACCATACTTTAAGATCTGCAACCGATTTCAACAAAATTCGGGAAAAAAAAAAAAAAAATAATAACGTAATTTTCATATTTCTTATTATAGTGAAAAATGGGCGAATCGGACTACAACTACGCCTATTTCCATGTATAACATCATTTTAAATTCCATCTGATTTTTAACTTTCAGTATGCAAATCAAGCATCAATGATTATATCGGCGTAAAACTTTGCGTGAATAATACGTATAAAGTATGCCACCTTGTGACCAAAATTGTTCAAATCGAACAAATTGTTCAGCCTCAGGTACTGAGTATGTGGACATAGTGGCTTATAGTTGACTTTTACCGAAAATAACGTCAACATTAGAACAAGGCGGCAAGACCAGAAAGAAATCTAAAAGAATCAAGTGATTTTGCGAAGCCTTCATTATGCTTTAACTAAAATTTGAAAGTATATTTTACTAAAATATAAAAACTACGCGTGTTGTAAGCAACTTTTATTATTATTACTGTTTAAGTCCCAACTAGGATCTTGCATACTTAGGGTGAATTTTATTAAGATGAGATGAATTTAATATATGCTCTAATATCTTCATAGCACAATCGATAAATAATTAAAAATTTGTCTACATTTCAAGAACATTCAAAATTTTCGAAAAACAATTCAAATTATTTATTAGTGACAAACATTTGTACTTAACTCTCCAACTACAAACTATAATAATACTCGCATAAAAGTTTAACAATATAGTGAAACTTTTGAAAAGCAGGACAGCCAAGCGGTCTACGACACTGTATGTTGAATGGTAACATGTATATATGTATATTAGTAAGTCGCTCAAGCTCATTCAGGAAAGCAAAAACCGACAAATATCCATAATGCGTGCAAATGCGCTAACAATCTCATGCTAAACATGACATTGCTGCGCTCTCGGCTGTTGTGTCCAAAAGTTCAAACTCCGAGCTGTAGTTCGGATTAGCGTGCTTGTGGCGCGGCAGCAATCGTTTCAAATACTATCATTATGGCATTGCCATCGGCTTGTATTTTATTAGCATTGTTGTTTTATTAGGTGTCATCGCGAAACCTGATTGCGTGCCATAGCTGGAAGCCACATCGGGACAATCTCCTGATCAGCGATCGAGCAGGAAGATATGCTAGCCAATTTATTATCGTCCATGATTTTCTTTCGCTGCACTGACAGCTTCAGCCGAGGGTTTGCGTTCCGATCATGATCCAATAGTTCTGAAGGGTAGAAAAAAAATTAAAAAATTGGTGGTTGTAATTATAGAATATATCTAATTTGTTAGTAAAAATTTCAATAAATTCTCTGCTCGAACGATCGCGACGTTCAGTGATCGTACTTTTGACAACATTTTGTTAAGAAGATCTAGAAATCGAACCTAGTAATTTTCGATAATTTGGTCAAATTTAAGATGGGGCTCTGGCTAGGTCGGGTTGGTAAACCCAGAAAAAATGTCGGAAACCTTTAAGTATATATAGGTTGTCAAATATCTCCCTCTGCTTTTTGTCTTTTGAATTTCGCGGCTATTTACAAAGCGCTACAGAGCTTCGTTCTGGCAACACTATTCATAATATTTGAAGGTCTTAGTATATCCTACAAAAAACTCTATGCATGATTAGTTTGGATATTGCGTTCAACAGCTATAGACGTGAAACATGGAGTTACTAAGCCGAAATTCGCGCTATTTTAAAGTTTCCTTCTTAAAGACAAATCCCTAGAGAAACGTCCGTAGAGATTAATGGTGTTTTGGGGATGGTACTCTATCACTTGAACCGCGGAGGAATGGTTTCGAGATTCAGAAGCCGGTGGAAAGACACTATGGATAAGCCGCCGGCGGAAGACTGTGACGACAAAATCGATCAACTCATGGAATACATCGAGTGAGACGGCATATGGCATCTCGTGACATCGCCAGGAGATGGGAGTTAGTGCACCAACCATTTTGAACCATCTGCAAAGGCTGGTATCAAAAAGTTTGATGTTTGGGTGCCGCAATAATTTGACGCAAAAGAACCTTCTGGACCGAATCAACGCCTGCGATATGTTGCTGAAACGGAACGAACTCGTCCATTCTTGGGCGGTTGGTGACTGGTGACGAAAATGGATCCACATACGACAATATCAAGCGAACGGTCGTGGTCGAAGGCCGGTGAACGTCCAACCAGTGGCTAGCCGGATTGACGACAGAAGGTTTTGCTGTGTGTTTGCGTGGATTGAAGGAATCATCCACTATGAGCTGCTCCATATGGCCAGACGCTTAATTCTACCACCATCTATCGAACAACTGGACCGCTTGAAGCAGGCAATCGACCAGAAGGTCCAGAATTGGCCAACAGGAAGGGTGTAGTGTTCACAGGACAAGCCAGACACACTTCGTTATGACTCGCAGAAGCTCGGGAG